AGCATTGTTGGGCCTTTTTTTAAAAAAACCCTTTTTTTTCTCCCCCTGGTTTTTCGTTGGGCCCCCCTCCCGGGGGGCCCCCCCGGGAAAAACCCTTCATTTTTTTCTCCATAAAAATTTTTAAAAAGGGGTTTGAAAGGGGCCCTTTTTCCTTGTTTAAATTGGGGCCCCCCCCCCCCCCCCCCCCCCAAGGGCCTCCGCCTCTTCGCGAATCCCTTTCTCTGATAATCTTGCGTGCTGTGGAGCTAACGCGCCGCACCAAAACCTCGCGTGCCCAACAACATCCGTCCTATGTTCCTTTGTATTGCGTGAGCAGAAGCAGAACGAGTTGAAGAAGCTGGTGATGGTGTCCGTGAAGCCCGAGGATGTCCTTGCCGACCACGTGGAGCTCAACGTCAAGGGCATCTTCATGCCTCGCGGCGACCTCTACCGCATGATGAGCAGCATCGTGGGCAAGACCGTGTACGGCTCCAAGACCTTCCAAGTGCCGGTAATATTTGTATGCTTCCTTCTTGTTTTCGACAAGTTATCAAACAAAATGTGACGCGATTATTTGCCAGATACACCTTGGCTTTTTATGTAGGAGGGGGGGGATGATGGAGTGACGTTCCACTTACACGCGGCGAACCCTTGTCATGTGGAAATATTGTGTACTTTTGGTGGCAGTAACAATGATTTGCAAAGATAAGAGGCAGAGTCGAAGGGTGTATTGGTGCGCTCAAGAGGTTCTCTAGACCGCAGGGCGTTACGTGTGCGAATGGTGTGCACGAACATGTCGTATGCTGTTAAATACTGTAGTTTCATATGCTGTTATTAGTTACAGCAAGAAGAACTATTGTGTCTAAGTTATATATATATATATTTTTTTTTGTGATTTGGCAGGGTGACGACCGGGGCAACATGCGCGTGAGGGTACACCACGTGAACCGGAAATCGCAGGCGATCTACGCAGGCGTCGTATCCAAGAAGACGCACGTCATCTGCAGGTCCAGGTCGTCGCGCATATTCTGGCTCGTGCAGGTATATCCCTACTGATGCTGTTTTTTTCCGGCGCCGCTGATGCCGGGCTCTCTCAGACTGCCGCGTTTGTGATGTCGTACAATGCTGTTTGACGCAGCATTTCTCAGGGCTGTTGTGTGTGTGTGCTGGATATGAATAATTAGGGTCGCGAAGCGAGAAGTGGTGTGTGTGCGCTGCCTTACGGCTTGTCCATGTGTATGTTGCTGGAGCAAAGTCGTACCGGATATAGATTTGTGTTGATGGGAAATTGCTCAAGCGGTGTAGATACATTGAAGAGCGCCACGTAGGTGCGAAATTGTAAAACTCCGCGGTGGCGACTTGAGTCAAATGGCCTACAACGAGGGGGCTTAGAAAGCTGCGGTTGAACAACAAAATCTCGACCCCAAGTCCGATCCATTTACCAGCCCACGTATCACGCTAACAACTTGTTCGGAAAACAATCCAAGTAAATTCAGAGCAGAGCTAGGACCCGTGCTTCGTCTCGTGAAGGAGAGGAGTAATCGTAACCCCTTCCTCCCCTTCTCGCTGTTGTTGGCGATCCCTGTGCGTTTGTTTATATCAAACACAAAGCTGACGCCCGAGATGTACGACACCAACCAGCACGGAGACGTGTACTACGAGGTGTTTCTCCGCTTCGTCGAAGACCTGGTAGAGAGGTGGAGAGAGATGGACGTCACGCACCACCTGACCGTCGTCTTCTTTTGCCGGGTCTACTTCGCCGGGAACAAGGTGCGCCTCCTGGGTCGGCGGCGATGTGAAAATATCGCATGGTATGGTGTGATACGTCAGCGTGATGTGGCGCGAGCAACGACAGCACCGGTCGAGTACGCTGATGGTCGCGGGTATTAAAGGTTCCTGTTTCTTGTATGGTCTTGTGGCGGTCATCTTGATGGGGATCGTGTGATGGTGTTTCGCACTGGTGCGCTGCCAGTAACGGTTAACTTACTGCTCCCTGTCTCTTTTCGGTGTTTCCGCTGCTGTTGCTGCTGCCACGTGTAGTGTGTGCGGTAACGCTAGTGTTGAGGGAACCATTTGCTGCACCAAGACTTGCTGGCTGTCTCCGCCTGTGGCCGTGATGACTGCACCCGCCAAGACAGCGTTTTTCGTTCTCGTGGCACTGCTACAGCAGTAGCCATTGGGCAGCTGCGGTGACTGTCCCATGTAGCACCAAACACGGCATTCTTGATGTTTTCCCCTCGTCAGTCCCGTCTCACCCCCGGCCTTCTGCGTGCACGGGTGTCTTGATTTGGCGTCATCGTTGGTGACAAGGGGGCTGACCCGGTGACCCCGCCGGAAGGGCTTTATAGGAGGCCGATCCGGACGGCACCGGATGGAAGGCTGTATGAAGACACCTACAAGGTGCGGTTCCAGCCGAACAGGCGCAAGAAAGGCTCCGTGCATCACCTTGTCGGTCCGTTTTCAATCCACCAGCGAGCCGTTTATCAAGCAGCCGAAGCAACCCCTCCAACCAGATTGTAAAGACGATATGTTTCCTTAGGGCATGCAGCGAACTGGTCGAAACGGCCAACTGTTGTATCCTTTTTGGGGGGCTCTCAATCTACCGTAGCGGACCGCTTCACGCGGGCCAATTAAATCGACCGAAAGACCAGCCAACCAGGAACACACCCACCGACCAAACAGGTGGTAATCGCCAACGAGACCAAGACCGAATACGACGGCGACTTCAAGCTCCGTTGGCGCCTGCACGATGAGTTTCACGCCTTCCCCCGCCAGATGGGTTGGTGGAAATTGGTCAACCTCAACGCGCCTACCCCGGCCGCCCGCGCTCAAGCTCGAGCGCAGGCCGGGGGCGGGACCGGCGGGGCTGCAGGCGACCGTTCCGCACCCGATTCGGAAAAGTTGAACCTGAGGACACCGGGCGTTCGGTTGGCCGTGCCGGCTTTGGCGAAACAGGGGAATGTGGTGGAGGTGGGCGTTTTGTTTCCGCCTAGCTAATGATGATGGTGGTGGTGGTGGTGATGGTGATGTTCCGGTGGCACTCGCAAATGTGGCGCATCTGGCGCGCAAATGGAACGGTATCTTTCATGTAGTTCTCTCCTGCATTATAGTGCAATTCTCCTGGTGACCGCTACTGCTTTCTACCCCCCTCCCCCTTTGCCCGTTTCCGCCTTGAGTAGTGTTTCGCCCGTAATACTTGCTGTATTTAGTGCTTTTCTCGGAATCTTATTCGTCGACAGCCCTGGCCCCCGCGACGTTCCACCACGCCTTGCTCCTCCTGTAGGCGCTCAATGTGATCGTCAACGTGCTCGACAAGCACTACCTGGATCGCGACCTCAGTCGGTCCGGCAACTCCGTGGTGATGATCACGGCAGGCCCGGGCGTGTTCAACGTGGACGGCAAGCTTTCTGGTGAGTCGCACTCTTTCTTCGCCGGAGATGATGCGTCCCTCCTGCCGACAGGCTGTTGTTTTGTCTCTCGATCCCGTTGCGCCAAGGCTTCGGTGACAACTCTTGTAGCGTTACTTGTGCGAGCCACGCGCGCCGGTGCACGTTGTCGGTGAAACTCGCGATCCAGCGCCGCTGTCCTCTGCAAGAACCCGTCACCGATACCTTTGTGCACGCTTTTTTTAGATTCGGGCGCACTTTTCGCTGCCTCACTCCGCCCCTGCGTCCATGTGCTCCCTCCAACAGCCATCACAACTCAGAGGATGATGGACAATGGCATCGGGATGGACATGGTGTCCCTCAGCAGCCCGCCTCTTCATACCGGACCTCTGTTCATCTCGAAGCGTCTCAAGAAGGAGACCGTCCCTGTAGCATCCACTAGCACCATTCCTCCCTACCAGCACGAGCACCACCAGGATGGCCGCCTCGAGGCAGCGAACGCGGCGGCTGTGCAAGCGAGCAAGCAGGAACAGCAGCACCATCACCGCCACCACCATGTCCATCACGGCGCCGAAGTCGCAGGCTCGGGGCGTCGGTCAAGCACGACCAGCGAGGAGGTTCTGATCCAGGAGCCGCCCAAGTATGAGGTGAGTGCCTCCTTCTTTGACCGCAAGATCGCCGACATTGTATTCGTGAGTGGTGGGACCCAATCGTCTACCCCGCTCCCTTCGGTTTCTTGTCTTTGTCTGTGCACGCACACACATGTTGCCGGTTCAGAAGTGGTTAGGAGGCTCCAGGGTAGATGATGTGGACGGGCACGATCGGTTTGGTCTTGGACAAAGTTCACGAACCCGCATGTACGTAACGCCCTCTCTCTCCCCCCCCGTGCCTCCGGCGCGTTTGCACCTCGATCCCCAGCTTCCGCACTGGATGAACTTGACCTTCGCTGCTGCGGCCGAACCCCGAAACCGTCACCGGTACGGCGATCCCCCGAAGGCGCCATCCGAGGGGCTCGCCAGCACCGCTGTGCCCGTCGCCAAGCCCCCCGGCACGAAGAGACCGGTGACCATGCCGAAGATCATCTGGCCGGAGCAGCTGCGCTGGAAGTCGAACGGCAAGATCGACATGAGGTCGCTGGACATGCCATTCCTGCTGAAGAAGCTGCTCGATTGGCGGCAGGACCACCCTGACGTGATCGATATCGCGGGGCCCCCTGACCCGGACGACATGGACTTGGCCGACGACGGCCAGCTGGAGCGGAGGAAGGCGGAGGCCAAGCGGTGGGACGACGAGAACAACGTCCGGCCGTACCGGCTCCGAAAGTGGCACGCCGTCGAGACCAAGTTTCCGCAGCCGCCGCACGGCATCGAGGGCGCCGCCGAGCACGCACGGATCCTGAGGAAGGACCGTAAGAAGCTCCGCAGGCAGCTCTCCGCCGCCGTCGAGTCGGCCGCTCTCCTCCCCGAGGGCCGTGGCGGCGGGGGCGGCGGCGGTGGTGGCGGTGGCGGCGGGGGTGACCACCGGCAACGGTCCCCGGCGGGGTCGTCCTGTTCGGCCGGTCGCCTCCTCCCGCCGGAGATGCTGCTGTCGTCTTCTCCGGGCGCGGCCGCGTACGTCGGGAGCCCGCGTAGCCTCGGCAGGCTGTATCAGCTCGCCAGACCGTTCCCGGACAAGAACAACGTCGTCGCGGTAGTGGCGCAGCCGTCCCTGATAGGCTCACCTCGGGGGCCCAAGCCGTGGGGGATCGGCGGTAGCGCCGGCGGGGTCGGTGACGGCCGCGGCGGCAGCGGTGGGAACTCCGGAGGGGCGGCGGCTAAGCTGTGGGGGACCGGCAGCAGCAGCGCCTCTGGTGGTCTTGGAGACAGCGGTAGCGGTAGCGGTAGCGGTGGCAGTCCGGGTGGCTTGGTGCCAGCAACCCACCCTGGTGCTGCGACCATCAGCGGGGGCGCCGGCGGAGCGGAACCGGGGGTACCAACCAAGAGTAGGCCCCCCCCTGCCCCGCGAGAGCGTGGGGGGGAAAAGGACTGGACGGCGTGCGAAAGAAAAGTGATGGGGGAGAAGGCCTTCGCACTGTTTTTGCCGAAGTGGAGGGAGCACGACAACAGTGTTGACCGGGTGAGATATAATAGCGGTGAATTTTTGTGTTGGTGGTCGCAAACAGAAACTGGAGGTGCATGCCGGAACCAAGCAATTTATCGACGTCCATTTTGAGCGTTTCGGTTGCTAAAATCGCGCATGGACCTGTATGCGCTCTCCTCTTTGCGGAGCATAACTCGCTTGCCGTTTTTGCTCTGCACGAGAGAGGCCGCCGCGGCTGATGCTTGCCCCACCCTTCGTTCGATGGAAGCCACAAGTTGTCTCGGAAAACCTGCGGGAGAAGTTGCATCGAAGCAAATCACGTGTTCCCCGTATGCGATCTCTTGACACTAACTACAATAGCGGCCCCGTCAAAGGCTGACGGGAGAGTGATGACCACGCGTGCATCACGGCTCCTTGTGACACATGCAGCCTTGCCACACGGCATCATATACGTCTGCGTGGGAGCCGTCCTGCGCTTTCTAGAACAGAGAACAACTTACTCTTGAGTGCCGCTGTAGGCATATAGCCGTGTACACCACGCGGCTGCTCGTGGTGTGTGCGCGTGAGGCGTTTTTGATGTGCATGGTGTGGAGGAGCCGTTTCTTTCTAGCGCTCTACGCTTCCTTGCGTGCGCTGTTAAAAGGACAGGCAGCAGCCGAAGCAGCCGGTTGTGTGTTTAGCTGAACACGGCGAAACAGATACGCTCTTGGAGTGTGTCTGACGTGAGAGGGGTCCTATCTTGTCAGGAACCTAAAAACCGGAAGACGCAACTGCCGTGGGTACTATTATAGCCCTCGCTCCTGGCTACAACACACGATGAAACCCATCGGGTATATGTGCACCCCCCCCCGCAACAAAAGCCGTCAAGCGAAGAGGACGAGAAGCCCCGAGGAGCGTCGGCCAAGGTGGCCAAGAAGAAGGCCAAGGCGTCCAAGATGGGAGACTGGGGCAGCCTTCTCACAGAGGGGGACGAGGAAAATTACCCCTCGGGGGGGTTGTCGGGCCCGCTTTCTTCGCCGAGGCCTGCGCTTCGGAACGCCGTGGGACTGTCGGGGAGCGGGTGGGTGGGACTGGGCGGGGATGCCCGCTAGGCGCTATGAGGCGATCACGTTGTTTGGTGTGTCGGTTGGGCGTGGGTATGGCGTTTTCGGTGTAGCATAGGGTAGATCGATGCTGGGTCGAAAGAGTTTGCTTGGTGCGGTGGACGTTGTGGTCGGCGTGTTCAGCGTTGGGTTGGCAGGTTGTTTGGGGCCGTGAGCGGCTGGCCGGTCGGTTGAGCCGTGTGCTTCTTCTTGCCCATGGCGTTGGGACAGCTGGCACAAGGGAAATCATGTTTCATGAAGCACCGACGAGCTGGTCGATGTTGCGTTTCATCTAATTGTTGTCACGAGTTGCGGCTCACGCGCCGGTAGTGTTGGACGGCGTACTCTCTGTGGTTTTTTGTCACCACCAAGACAGGATGTTATAGAACCATGCGGCCCGTTGTTTGTGGTTCCCATGACATGATCGTAACCCTCACCCCCCACCCCCACCCCCACCCCCACCCCCACCCCCACCCAACTTTTCCATTCGCCGGTGACCCCCCCGTTCGCTGGCCGTACGGAAATCAGTCCGACTTTGACCATGCATCTCTCTTCACCCAAGCAAGGAGCGGGCAGCTTCATGGGAGCGAGCGACGGAACAGGCGGCAGAGTTAACACTGGTGGTTTCTCTGCAGACAACGCAAGCTCCGCCGCCTCGTCCCCTCGCCCTGCCAGCGCCGCCATCGGGGACGACCGTTCGGCGGCAGCCCGCCTCCTCGAAAGCAACAACCGCAGAAGCAACATCGGGGAGCGGAGCAGCCGCGCTCGGCGTGAAGGGTCGTCGAAACCGATATATATATCAGGGAAAGGGTCGTCGACACCCGCGAGATCTCCGTCCGCCGCTTCATTCACTGGGCGGGATTCGTGGAGCGGCCGACCGCAGCAACGGAAACAGCAGCAGCAGCAGCAGCAGCAGCAGCAAGACGCGATGACGACAGCAGGACAGCCTTTAACACCCCCGTTGCCCCCGGCGGTCCCGTACTGGCGTACGGTAAGCGAGAAGCCGCACACCCTGGAACAGATGGTGGAGCGCGCGGAGCGCAAGAAGGAGGACGCCTTGCGCGATCGAAACCGCTCCAGCGGCAGCGGCGGCAACGGCGGTGGAGGCGCCGGAAACGGCCGGTCGTCTACTCTCAAGCCTCCCGTTTCCAGCGGAAGGTCGCTGAGCGACTCAAGTCCCAACGCCGGCGGGGAAAACCCAGGACCGTCTCCGGCGGGCCCAACCGTAGTGGAAGGGGGTCTGTCGCCGCCGCTCTATTCCCTCGAGAAGGCGGCGCTCGGAAGGTCGCCCATAGGGCAGACACCGGTGATACGGTCACCGCTAGGGAGATCGTCGCTGGGACAGTCGCCGCTGGAGCAGTCGCCGCTGACACGGTCGCCGCCGTCAGCGGCAACCACCGCCATCACCGCCGCCGCCGCGAACGAGAGGGCGCACGGTGGAGTTGGTATTGACGATATCACCCGAGGCGGTACCTCCAGCGCCGGCTCCTCTCGCGGCGGCGGCGGCGGCGGCCCTCGACAACAGTACGCGCAAGGAGAAAAAGGCTCCCCCACAGGCGGCGAGAGCGGCGGTGGTGGCAGCGGCGGCCAGAAGGGGGCGGCGGCCGCCACCGCCGCAACGGCGCCGCCACTAAAAATCTCGAGGTCATCTAGCGACAGCGTAAGGTACTTCGAAAATTGGGGCAAGTGGGTGCCGAAGAAGCCGAGAGAAAAGAACTCGCCAAAGGGCGTGCACTCGCCCGAGCAGGCCGGAGAGTCGTCGTCGGGCCGCGCAAGGGGCGGAAGCGGGAAGGGGCTGGGGCGATCTCCCCTCAGGGACGCGGGTTTGCTGTGCACGCCGAGCTCGAGCCTGGAGCAGCATCAGCCCGGCGGGTTCACGGCTAGGCTGGTCGGGGACAAGCTCAAGGTGCCTCTCGGCAGGCCCCCGATGCGTCGGCCGGTGGACCCGTCGCCGGCCAACGCCAATCCTCGCAGCTACGACTGCATTAGCTCCCTGTCGGAAGACCACAGTCACAGCCAGGGAACGACCGGGTGAGCGGATGGAGTAGTTGGTCGAGGCTGACGTGGTGCGTTGGTGGTGTGCGGCTTTGTCTTGGTGGAAATTCAACTTTGTATTGGTAAGGGGTGAGGCAGGGAGGGGGGAAGAGGGGGATGTTGCTTGCAAGTCATTTGGCCATTGACCGCGCGTGTCGCTCGACGCTGGGCGCTGTTCCTACTCCTTTTTGAGACCACCAACGGACCAACAGTCGCGTGTGCTCCTCCATGAACTTTTGTGACGCCCAACCGGCGCACCCCCCCCCCCGCGCGCCTGGTATGAGTCGACGGTACGCGCGCGCTCAAACGATCTCCTTCCTTCCACTACTGTTCGGTGGTCGCCTGAAGATGGCTGTTGTCCTTGCATGCCGCTGGGTGTCTCGGTAGCGGTTTGTGCCACAGCGATTCTTTTCTGGATCGGGTCCCGAAGGCGCTCTTACCCAACTCGCATGTGTTGCGGCAGTCGGGCGTGGGCCACCACGTATCTCCAAGGCGAGTTCGACTTCAACGCTCACTCATGAATGCTGTTGCTCCCAACCGACCTATTTACCGCCGTTTTCTCTCCCGCCCGGTGCCCTCCCAAACCCCCGTCTTTGCCAACCGAAACACCTTCTTCATCCACCACCACCACCACCACCATCACCACCACCATCAGCCTTGGCTCCGACAACACCACCGACGAGGCGTTCGACCGCGACGGCCACTACCAGGCCAGCTACGGTAGCGCCGTCTCGACGGGGCCCCCGGCGCTCGGTGGACGCGGCGGCCCGACAGCCGCCGCCGTCGCCGCCGCCGCCGATGCCGGTTTCTCCAGGCGCGAGCCTTCTTCCGCCGTGCGGTCGAGGGTGAACACCTCCGACTCCTCCTTCGCGAAGTCGAGGTTCGGCACCGTCTACGGAAGCGAGGCGAGCCTCGGCGGCGGTGGTGCAGGGAAGAGTCGGCCAATCGCGGAGCAGGAGTTCAACCCGTTCCAGACCGCGGACGAGCGGCAGGTTGTGCCCGTGTGCTTGATGGCGTACTGTAGGGTGTCCGCGTGTGCGTGTCACTTTTTGTTGTTGTAGACGTTGGGGGACGTTGTCCCTGGGTCTGTACCTCGGAGGAGAAACTGCTGTGGGCAGCATCGTTTGTTGCAATATGTGGGAAAGGTTCTATTTTATTCCTCTGAGGGCGTGCCAGTCTTTGTAGATACCTACAAGTTTGACTTAGCCGTATCTCACATGTAGCCGACGTTTATTACAACTGCCGCTTGTTGTGGGGTCTCATCTCAACGCGTTGGCGTTTCGCGCTTGTGTGTTTGTCAACTACAAGGAGAGTACGCCTGCGAAGCCGTAAGACCTCTCGTCTCCACCGGTAGTAACAGGGTACGGTGTCGCTTATCGCTAGCCTTGGCAACTAGTCTCATCGCGATATGTACTCTGCAAGCGGCGTAGGGTGAGAATTCGGGTTCAACAGCGCATGGAAACCGGACACGATGCCTGCGGCTCCGCGCATCGGCGGGCTAGTAGTGTAGTCGGCGCCCCCGAAGACCGAACAGGATAAACCCGGTTCCCGTAGATGCCTCGTTCAACGGCACGCTCCCAACTCTCAACTTCCACGCAGCAAGTTTGGGTTGAGCAGCTGCCAAACTTTACACACCACGACTCAAAACACGCATTACGCTAAGGCCATCGGACACAGGTTTTTGTTTTCAGGTACGTACGCTGTTGTTTGACGATGAAAACTGCTGACAATCCGCACTCAGGTCACGTGACACAGCCCTTTCTTCGTTCATGTGTGCTTATGATGCTTTGGCGGAAAATAGCTTCTGAGAATCCGCACGCACAACCGGCGGCGCTGGAGCCACGTGTTCTCCCGAGGGGAGACGGAGTTCCAGACGACGGACACCATGCCTGGCCCGATTTATCGCTCCCTGTGCCAACCGGTTCTGCTGCCGACATCGATCGACTATGTTCCGACGCAGAAGGTGTTGTACTACTGTTGTTGTGGATTGGTGTATGGGGGTGTTGGTGGTGTCGTGGTGTCATGGTGCCTGTGTTGGGGATGTTGGGGTGTTGAGGTGGGGGGATATGCTACATATTTATTTCATTCTTATTTTTAATTTTTTGGTTCTCTGCGCCGATGTCGGTCTCTGAGTCAGCGCGAATCGTGTTTCAGATGGCGCGATTGGGCGGTGAGAGGGATCGTGTAGGCGGCGGCGGTGCGTATCGCGTTCTTTCGTATTGTTCTTGCGGTTTGGCGGCATTGGTACATATGCCCCGTTTGGTCGCACACACTTGGTGAGCAGATATAGGAACATGTTAAGAAAGCCACCACCACCACCACCACAATAACAACAACTCAGTTGTGTCGATTACTCGGCTGGTGCAATTGTCCGGTCCAGCCCGTGTTTTTTTTTTTTTTGTTCTTTGCACAATGTTTGGCCAAGGTTGGCGGTGGAAGGCATGCTCGAAATGGGACGTTTTTTCTGGCGAAGCTGCTATTATATAGTCGTGTTAATAGGAGTAGAATACCGCAAGGGGCATGTTGTGGGTGTGGTGTTGCGTACGTGCGAGCTGTGAGTGAGCCTACGGTGGTGCTTGTGGAGGGCGAGGGCACCCGACATGCGCGTTTTCATGAGAAATGTATACGAAGTACAACTCTGCTTGCTCTGTTGCACCACCGTTGCTCCGCCGTACACGGTCGCGTGTATGTAAGCCGTACCGCTGCAAGTTTGTGGCGGATGTTGATTAGATCACCTCAGATCTACCTCTATTGCTCGAATTTCTTCCCGCCATTAAGCAGCGTAACGGACGACTCGAAGAGTCAGCACTTGGTACTGCCGCGAAGAAACCGACTCATTCCATGTGTAAAGGTGCCCGACCCCGACCCCCGTCCCTGCCTGCATCCCATTTGGCGGTATCAGATCCTGGAAGACGACTACGTGGAGTCAGGATACGACATCGCGATAGCCAACGAGTTCAAGAACAACCCCGAGAGGTGAAATTAGTGCGGATTAGTCATTCGTTCGAGTGAGTACACAAGAGGTGGAGACAACAGCTCTTGCGGAAGCCGCCGGCAACAGAAAGAGAGCTTCAGTTGAGGCCGTTATGGATGAATACAAGGGCTCTTGTGTCGTGACAGATGCCGGTACAACAGCGGTCACGGTAGTATTGGGGGCGTCTATTATTAATAAATAGAGTCGCGTTCCCGACAACAATGGCACGACCAAGGCCGCCTAGTGCCAAGGGCTTTGGCCGGCCTTAATCCCGAGACACAGCTGGTGTAATATCCAGAGACAACTTCAATATCCCCGTCTGTGTTCACGCGATTTCACCGGTCTTCATACACGGCGACCGGCCTTGTTTATTCACGCCGCTATATGTACAATTGTGCTGTATTTTGGCCCTTGTCTGCATGCCTTTTTTTTGTCCCGCACGCGAACGAAACCGCGCAGGGCGAAGCTCGTGGTGGAGGAGATGGTCGCGCAACGGATAGCCCAAGATTTCCAGTTGGTCGAACAGGTGCAAGAAAGACCCATGTATTACATCATTCCCTAACGAACAGCAACACATCATATGATTGGTTATTTTCTACGTCTCTATTTTAATATTGAGATCTTGGTTCGAGTTGGGCCACAAACAGGATGCGTCCCGAGAGCGCTTGACGATGGAATTGAAACGACGGCGCTTGAGTACCGCACAGCTTTCTCGGTCTTAGGCCCACGGTCTACAACAACGATCTTCCACCAACAGCCTAGATCAACGCTCGCCGCCGCAGGCATCACACGACCGAGGTGCGGCACAGGCAACCATGAACTAATGATTATTCCGGCGACGATATGTCCCCGCTCGGCGTCACAGCGATGCGGAAATTATAGAGCCTTCGGCATTGCACAAGGCATACTGCTGTGGAGGGTCCTCAAGAACGCCGGTATGTACCCGGCGCATCGACCGGCGCTATTCAGAAGGACCGGCGCTATTCAAAGTACAGAATAAATTGGTGATTCAGTCTGTGCCCAGCAATTTCACCGGCACTATACAGGGCCACCGGCGCTGGTCAACCGGCGTTGTTGACGCCCGCCCACTGTACCGCATGCCGCGTGCACAAAATTTATACCTGACCCCCGTTTCCCCTCCCCGCAACGCGCAATCTCCTCCCTCCCAGCCTGCCGAGACCAATGTGCGCTCTAGGCTGTGGACGTCCTACCAGCAGCTGGCGAAAAGAGGCCGCGACTTCTCAACGAACAACAACTTCTTCACCGTGGGGGAGGGGCTCGTGCACATCGTTTCCATGGGGCACCGGCTGCAAACTATCTCGTACACCCAGGAGAACTCAACGGTATAATAGAGCTACTACGAATGATCACTCATTGAATATGATTTGGGACGTTTATTGTTGCAAGATAATATTATTATTAAATCCAAAGCTATGTTTGGTTGTGCGTACACTCAGAGGTAAGTTTCCTTCAAAATGGAAAAATTCGAAACCGAAACCGAAAGCGCTCTGCTTCGTTGCCGGTGGTGCTTCTTGTTTGGGTGTGGGAGTTTTGCCGTCGTCGACCGCAGGCTCTCTCTTCCCTCCGAGTAGGTGCAGCAGAATCCGCAATCTCCGCTGGGGCAGGGAATGAAGCACCATCAATAAAGTAGCCCTGTTATGCTTGCTAGTACTCTTGTTTTTGTCTCGTCTATCGCTGTTTTTCGTTGGTGTCGTTGCTGCTGTCGTTGGCGATTTTTTCCTCCTGTACCGTTGTGGTCGTTGGCCATCGCCTGGTGATGAAGGCATGATGTTGGATAAGTCTAGTTGCCAAACGCGCTGGGTGGGAGTCTTATTAACAGTCTTGCCGGTGCATCGCGCGCGTCCAACCCAGGTCAAGGTTCGGAAGTTTACCCTCAAGGCGGGCATGGACTCCGAATACAGCGCGTACGAGTACAGCTTCTCGCTCTGGGGCTCCCTGACGGGCTACTCACAGCCGGTAAGACCCGAAAAATGTATTCAGGCGTTACCCACCTCACTGCTCCGTACTGTTGGCGTCGCTGTCCTTCACGATTGGTCTTGATTTCATCAGAGTCGTAACTTCATTGCATCGTTCTCCTGCCTCTCACATCGAAGACACCTGTTCGGTATCACAACCCGTTGAGATATTGCACCAAGCTTGATTTGCACTTGTTGCATCTTTCGTCCACGGCTTGTGCGTACGATTTCATCGCACGGGCGCGTTTATCGGTTCCCCCCCATACACCAGTAGCTGATGTTCGCGTCCCTGATGTCCTTTGGCCATGTAACCCGCAAGAGCATACCTGTACATTACACCACGAGAGCACTTCTTAGGTGTCGGGTGAGATAGGCAGGGGCAGGGGCGCCATGTTGTTGAGCGGAGGTCACTTAGTGCGAAACGCAAAGGAGTTGCACGAAGGTCGTCAAACAGAAAATTTGTGCGACTCCCTCTCCCATGCAGCAGGTGTTCCAATCAGTGGCGCTCTAAGCATGGCGTACACATGGCGGCTGATATTGCCGTCTTCCAGCGGTTGCGAAGTGTGTTTTTGGTTCAAAACCTTGCCGGCCCAATGCTGGCAAATCAAGCGGGGTCATTTAACGTTCACTAGGTTACTCAACACTAGAATGGCGATGGAGATCCCCAACCCAGCAGTAATATTTGTTCAAGCGTTGAATCTGAGTACTGGTTTACAAGGGTGATGGGGGGTAAACGCCACAGAGTACGTTAGAATTTTTTCAACGATGCAAGAACCGATCTCAATCTGTTTGGAGTGGGTGTTCTTGATTCTTCTCGTTATAATTTTTGTTCAAATATATCTCGACCACATACGACAACACAAGCATGCAGATCTCCATTCGACAGGCCCAACATGTTTTTATTGTACTGAGGGGGTGAGTTCTTCTCTACCACGACGAACTTCATGTAGCGTGTTCCCGCCCTGCACGCAGGTGAAGCAGGAGTTCTACAAGTACCCGAAACCTGCGTACAACTTCAACTACGTCGATCAGCTCATCTCCGGAGATGAGGAGCAACTGTGGGAAGTCACCAAGTACCGGCGGCTCCTCTTCAACATCGTTCCTCCCAAGGCAAGGCAGCTTCCTTTTTGTTGTTTGCTCTTGAGGGCATTTCTTCGAGCCTGTAAAGCGGTCCCACGTGCGACTGCCAGAACGAGTGAAGGGGGGGAGGGAGACTGCCATTCGCAATTGTCGTTTTTTGGCTGGGTTCCCTACTAAATAGCAAAACACCTTAGGCAACGACCAAAATGCGCTTGAAAAATCAGTTGATATCGACGAGAACTTTCGATGTTACAGTGGTTGTTCAGCTCATTCATTTCCCCCGTCTATCTTTGGGCCTATTTTTCACGCGTTTGCTTGCCGCGTTTGCTCCGCAGTATGCAAACGCGTCCTTGATTGTTACGAATTTCCAATATGTGAACATATAGTAAAATATTACCGATGGGACCTTTCGCCTTCGTTTTTTTTTGGTATTGTTGCTTCGAGCGGAACGACGGCTGGATCTGGATCCGGGGCCATGTCGTGTTTGCCCCTCGCACCTCTGCTCGTTTGCTTCGCTCCTCCTCTTGCCGCGTCTCCGTGAAACAAATGATTTAGATTATGCGAAGCGATGCGTATTGTCGTCGTTATTGTTGTCATCTCGAGGTGACGAGCGCAGAGGAGAAACGCGGCGTATCCCTTATCCCCCTTGCCATGAACAGAAGTTATGCGCCTCGTGCACGCGTTGCTGTTCTTGTTCGCGCTATCAGCTCGTCTCCTTTTTTTGGTCACCTAAAGGCGGCGGGCGTAGAGGAGGAAGAAGCCGTCGCGGACCATGTGTTGACCGGTTGGACTTCCTTTCTGCTAGTCTCGTCTCTAGTTACTGTTTGTGATATAAGTCTTACACCCAAAACAAGAAATAATCTACAATGATAAGACAAACACTCACGCACACACAAGGCTCGGGCATCCCCCCGCACGGAGTATCTCGAGGCTCCCGGAGACTTGTTCCTTCATGGCTTTTGTTCTCCTTGGCGTGTCTCGTCTCTTTGCGTTGTGGGGGGTCTCCATTGCTTGCAGGTGACCAACGCAGAGGAGGAAGAAGCCTTCGCCGACGCCCTGGACAGGTTCGCCGAGCACCTCAACGGCAAGAGGACGCTCGTCTCCCAAGACCCCCGGCATGGCACGGCGCCGACCGTGTCCTTCGCCCTGCGCAGAAAATTCCCCAAAGTTTCTGCCGGTGGTGTGGATGAGGACAACGGCGCCGAGTGCCAGGCGGCGAGGAATGGGCGGGCGGAGTCGGCGACGGCGACGGCGAGCTCTCGAAGAATGTCCTCAGAGTACTCCTCCCGCGGTGAGGAAAGGAAGGGGGCCCCGCCGATGGGACCGGGAAGAAGACCGCACGGGGGTTCCGCAGGTGGGGAGGTTGGGGCCGTTAGGGGTAGGGCTTCGTGGGGATCGAGCGGCGGGGAGACCTCGGTGGCGGCGGCAGCGGCAGCAGCAGCGGCAACAGCGGCGGTGGTGGATGCGGCGGGAAGGGATGACGGGCCTGCAACTGCGAGGTGAGTGTTTCGCGTTAGAAGTGGGTTGACCGTAGCTCACCGCTTTGATTCCAGCGCTTAGTGCTGTGCTTCTGCTGCTGTACTCGTGCTCCCAGGCTATGGCCATTTGTTTGTCTGCGGTATCGATGTTACGATGACGCTGCGCGCGTTTGTTTTTTTGCGTCTGTCTGCGATTGTGTTTTTCGTTTGTGTTGCTGCTGTCGGTCTTTTCCCTCGATGTGTTGCTTCTTTTCGCGTCGTCTGGACGCGCCCCACGCCGTTGCTTGGCGTCAACTATAGCGCGCTGTAGGGCGTTATCTGATCCCGAAACAGGGTGGCTCGTTGCCGTGTCCCACGGATCGCTCTTTCCTCAGTCGATTGCCACTCATACATGCTATGGTACACCCGTCTGCCGGGGTCCCTTCCTCCATCTGCCCCTCTCCTTGTCTCTGACAAAAAATGACGTATTCTATAGTTCCGTGACGGTGAGGATGGACATGACCACAAAGGCGCCGGTTGCCCCGGCAGCGGACACTCTAGGGGTCGGCGGCGGCCGTGGCCCCAGCGCGGCCGGGGCAGACACTGTCGCCAGAGGAGGCGGCAGAGGTAGAGACTTGAAAGACAACAGGGACCGCAAGGATAGGGATAGAGATGGAAGAGACCCCAAGGGCAAGGATAAAAGGCACGGCGGCGGCGGTGGCAAGGGGTGGAACGGCAAGGTCGGCGGGGTCGAGAAGGGCGGAAAGGCGGCGGCGGCGGCGGCGGGCGAGGCTACTGAGGAGAAGCCGGAAGACGCGCCTCCGCCGCCGCACAAGGAGTGGCTCGACGTTGTCCATGACAAGGTGCGATGCGATGTGTGTGATGAAAACCTGACCAGAAGAGACAGAGAAAAGACGAAAAGATGTACATGCAGACGTCCGTCAACGACAGGGTGAGGATGGTGCTAGAAAAGTAAAGACGACTTAGAATAGAGGGGTCATATCCACCAGCCCTCGGCAGGTAACGTGTGGTGGCGATGAAACTATTTAGTTGACCAAGAAGCATGCGCAACTACCCTCACGCCCTAGACATGTTCAACAGAGAACCACACAAGAACATCATTAGATGGCACACCGGACATGAACGTGTTCGTGCTTAGACGTTTGTGTTGCAAGTAGCGTTGCCCTTGACCCAAACACACAACTTTTACCCTCTCTCTACGATCTCAAAATGTGTTTTACCTCTGGCAGAGCTTGGTTTGTTATTCCTCCTGGCACCGCGCGTGCTTGTTGCGACGCACAAGTCTCACAACCGACTTCTTCGCCCGGCCCGCCCCGGAACCCAAGCTTATCCTGGCTGTCCGTGTTTGGTTTGGCGCCGCCGCTTTCTTTGCTGTGCAGGATGTAGACATCTCGCGCGTCATCCACGTCGACGTGCACTGGCTCCTGTGCAGCGCGGCCAAGGTCACCGAGTACGTGACGGGTCTGCGCCGCTGCGCCCACGACCTCCAGCTTCAGCTTCTCCAGGTCAGGATTTGCCCGCGCACTTTGGCAGAGGGTAAAAAGAAAGTAGATTGTTGCCAGTTTGGACGTTCCCAACTCCAATGAAAAGGTGGGGCTTATTCGCGTGGCCAGTTGTACGTGGGTCCGTTTTAGGGCGCCACCACGCTTCCGACGAAAGGTACTGCGTGCACAGCAGTGATGGGTGAGCATAATTAGCCCGTTGCTGGCGGCAGATACCCCGAATCTTCCGCCATTCAACAGTGTTTATTAGATGGATGGTTCCTTTCGGCCCCCCAACTTCAACCCTTCAGTAAGATGGTCCGGTTCAAGGCACGCCCCACCTTCACGATTCCCTGATATCGCCACACGCTGCTTGACCCCTATGCTGTGTCTTGGCCACGTCTACACGGTATCGACTTCTTGTTTTTCTGTTTGCCCAGGCGCCCACCTACACCAGAGTGCCGGAAATCAACACGCACCCGCTCGTGACGCACCCGTACATCGAGATCCCCCCATGCTCCGCTCGCGAGGAGAAAGACATCCTGTTGCGGGTGCAGAACCACATGGTCGACTCGAACGACTACGTGAGGTGCTGCGACGTCACCACCGACTGGAAGGTAAACATTGTAGAACATTTTTTGTTTTATGTTGGTTCGTGTTGCCGGCACGCTGTCGGTGTACTGCTTGCGTAGTTTTAGATGCATCATAGCCACGGCTGCGCTGCTGATTCATCCATCGCCTTCACGCTACTCCAGCCTAGTGGTCGGAGTGCAGCAGCGGTCCCTGCATAAGGACGCAAAACACCGAGTTTGGCCGGTGGCCGTCTTGTACTATGGCCGGCGAAATCGCGTGACACAGATGGAATATCCACGTTGGCTCATACTCGGAACAGTAGTATCGGGTGCCCGGTATACGGCCGGCCAAATCTGGCACTATGTGACCTTGGTTGTGCTGTTTCCCTTGCTCAGCGCGCTTGTTAAACGGTTGAAACAGTTTTCTTTTCAATGTTGGGAGAATGGGGGTAAACGTCATAACGCCCTGGGGCGCGTTTTTGCCCATCAGAAACGTAGCTTCCCCCGCCCCCTGCTGGCGTGTACTCAGGTTCTCCAAGTTAATCCTTCACATGCACGGCATTGTTGTTTTGTTGTTGTTGATGTTACGAAGTTGGTTTTCACTTGCTAAACCGCTCTGACCGCTACCACTACCTCCGTTTTGCGTAACAGTTCAACGGGTACGAGGCGAATTTCCGTGGTCGTAGGCCTGTCCAACTAAGGTTGGAAGTAAGGAAATTCTCCATATCCAGACGACATGCATGACGATTACTCCATCGTTCTGTTTAGTTTGACGAACCTTCACACAGCCACTCCAACAAGCGTAGCGGGTCGATGACGGAACCCACGCCGAGACCATCAGACCGTGACCCGGATACCCGTGGATTTCCCCTAATGTGGCACCGAGAGTGTTGCGCGCAACCCCGCTCCCCCCCCCCTCTCCTCCTCCGTCAATCAGTCTCCTCCTCCCCCCCCATCCCGGCTTTGTAGGGATGCGAGGTCAATGGTCACA